TTCTGTTATAGGTCACCTTATTTTATATACCGCCTTCAACAGTTGGCATTACCACGTACAAACGATCTAAGGACGTCTTCAGTAGGCATATTAGGGACATATTAACTAGTATTCATGCACTGAACACTACACGTTTCCAGTGCCATTTAGTCACGCTCGTCCTCTTTGTGCCATGCTATCCGAAACTCTAAAACAGTGAGACTGAGATGTAAATTATGAGGGCTGAAATTCAACAGCCCGGGGCATTTAGTACGCATTACTTCTTTGTACTTTTTCAAACATTGTGTCAGGGCAGGATACAAATAAGGAAAACAAATGGCATTGCGCACATTTGCAACAAGTTCAGAACACCTCACTCAAAGCTATTTTATGTATTTTCGAAAAGCCGACCTATACGCCTGCGCTAGTCTGTTCATATTTTCTTTTGCGTACCATTCTGCTGCACTGTTTTAAAAACTGTAGCGATGTACACTTCAGTTACATGGGTTGTCCCATGTGATATACCCACGTGAAAACAACGCACATACCTTCATCACAAGAACGAAGGAAAATAGGAGGAAAAGAACGGCAGGGAGGTTAACCAGCCTATAGGCAGCCGATTCGCTACCCTGTGCATGGGAGGAGGATCAGGGAGATGAAAGATAGAGAGCAGAGAGGGAAGAGAGATAAACACAGCACATTGGGCAGCACACGCGCGCACACTCATAGTCCTTCATCACAGGCTGTCTTCATCATAGGCTGTTCAACAAGGGCATAATAAGTCATTTCACATTACAGTACGCTTATCGTGCACTATAGTGCACGAAGCGATCAGGAAACAGAGGTCGATTGCTCGAGTTAATGTTTTGACAAGTGTACTTATTTTCTTGAATTCCTCGCGCCAGTCATGGCTCTTTACTAAAAAAAAAAGTGACCACAAGACCCCAGCACTTTCCCTGTTTCGGCAACGTGGACAGTATACGATACATCGCTTCGAAGTGTCGCAAAGCATCCGAGCTACTTGTTTGGTAGGCTAATACGCGTGAAACTTCGGTACATCAGCGCTGGTTCTCTCGCGCTGCGTTCGAATGTCGCACATTGTGCCACGCGAGACGCATTCGAGCCGGAGACAGTTTGTAGCGCGAGAAGTTCAGCCTGAAATTGAAAATAAAAAATACGACCACTGTCGGCTCGAAATTCTGCTGCTTTTGCTTCTTTTTTTTTTTTTTGCTTTAGGTATGTTATATCGTGGATGCATCGCGTACTGAAAAGCCCCTTGCCTCTTCAAAGGAATGAAGAGACCAATACTTCCGATGAATATGAAACGCTGGGTGTATAACGAAGACTGAAGAAAACGTATTATTGATGAAACAGAGAAAAAAAGAAAGAAACACAATACGGTAGACTCACGCTGTACAAACTTAGAATAGATGCAATTGTGAGGTATTTTTTTTTCCTTTCACCCTTGCCTCGAGTCGACTAAACACGCACGCACTCTTGTTTTGGATTCCTCACGTATAATAAACACGATAACTATATATATATATATATATATATATATATATATATATATATATATATATATATATATATATATATATATATATATATATATATATATATATATATATATATATATATATATAGAGAGAGAGAGAGAGAGAGAGAGAGAGAGAGAGAGAGGAAATGTAGGAAAGGTAGGGAGGTTAACTAGACTATGCGTCCAGTTTGCTACCCTACACATGGGGAGGAGGAGAGGGTAGTAAAAACAAAAGAGAGAGAATGAATAAAAACACACATTGGATTGCGATATCACATTTAGTTGTTAAATTTGATAATACCTGTGTCACACGGGCGCGCAAAAAGTCTTTTAAGTAAACGGTCTTTTACGAAGTTGAAAGACTTTTAACAAAGAGGTGTTTGCGGCGCAGACACACGGCAGCAACGATCTCCTTTTAGTGTTTTCGTTCGAAGACGCTAGCGAAAGCGTGTCGCTAGCAGTTAAAAGAGAAGCAATGAAAATTAAACGATTTATCACGATGTACAAATTAAAGACTTGTTGCACTGCTCGTTTCTTCAAATAAATTTAAGAATAAGAGACGAAGAAACACCAATGTGAATGTTTTTTGCACTAGATAAGGAAGCATTCCCATAACTAGCGACGTGCACAAGTCCGTCTGGCACCACTGTGCTTTTATTTACCGTATTTGTTTTTCGCTGCTATCGACTGCTCTCGACACGTTATGGGCGACCGTACGGGAAAAAAAGCGAGGATCGCAAGCCTCACGGCCTGCCTTCTCGCTCTGGAAAGCGACGCAGACGCTGCAAAAGCCGCCAAGGAGAGGATAAATCAGCGCAAGACCGAGCGTGACCACTTGATATTGCCGACGCGTTGTAGCTGCTTACGAGACTAGAAAAGGAAATAACCATTAAAAGAGTTCATTACACCTTCTGCAGGATATGAAATTTGTTTTTACAAAGAGTTTTGATGACAGAAAAATAAGCATTCGCTCTTTTGTTCCCACCACTCGAAAATTGCTGGCGCCCATTGGTTTCGAGGCTACTCATTCGGAGCCGTAAAAGAGATCGACGAACGCCGTTTACGAAAAAGACCGCTTCTGAAAATGAGTTCGCTCTGTGCTGTGTGTCTGCTGTCAGGAACTCCTTTTCGGAAAAAGACCGCTTACTTAAAAGACTTTTAAGTGCCCGTGTGACAGGGGTATTAGACAGATGCTTGGGCTAGTTCTTTCTGTCCTTGTTTCTTCTGTAGTTACGTCGTAACTATACTCGTAGTCTTGCGCTGCGCAAATATGTAGTTGTTCAAGCGACCACGAAGTTCATAGGGAGAAAAAAAAAGCTGCAACAGGACTCATATATTTTTTTTCATTATTACTAGTGAAAGTTAACAGCTACCGCAAATACGGGCAAGGAAATGATGAAGCTGGAGTTGTAATTAGGTGTTCGTAGGAAATCGTGATCTCCCAATAACAAGTAAAAAAACAACAGCAAGACATCTTTGTGTGATCTAAAGAAATCAAAGCAATGAATAATGACATAGCATTGACGTTGCCATGTACAAAACACAAGTCTAGAAAGCCAGATTGGAGATTCTGTACAGATGACTATTACGCGTTGCGTTCATAACGAACACGAATGAAAGATTTTTGCGTAATATAGTCACGCTGATATCTTTCTTATGCCTAGCTCCTTGCGACACCGTGAACCAGACAGACAACGAGAAGAGTTTTATCGAGCTGCGCCAAGCTACTCAGGAATCAATAATAAAGGCCCACTAAAAGAGCAAACTCGTTATGCTAAATGATTAGCCTTCTCCTGTTTACGTACTCAAATAATAATTTTGAGATGCCACTCGCGCAAACTGACTTCTTTCTTACTGCCAGAACCCATTCTCGGCCGTATCCACCATCTATGACCTCGACATTCACTCGAATGCTGAACGTGAACGCTCAACGTGACTAGGCTGTGCTCTTACCAAGAAGCATTAAAAAATTGCTGGAGTGGAAATGATTGCCCAGGAGTGAAGCCGCTCCTCTAGCAAGATGGCGGCTGTGGCGGCCATCTTACTAGGGGCATGATAAATTATCACCGTTTAGCGATTAAAAACGAAGCGTTTCCCTACAACGCCCAACGAGTTTAACGTGGGAGCTCTTTCGGGTCACATAGTGCTCCAAGTGCGTCTTAGAGTTACTAGTTTTCCTTGGTGAGCCTCTAATTGGAGGCAAAGTTCTTTAAAGACTCAGTCATCCATACTCGTTTCTGTGTGTTATTTCGTCGGAACCAACAATCTTTTAATATAGAACTAACGTAGCATTTACATAACATAGCAAAGCCACTTAATCTTCAAGTGGGCACCATCAGAAAAGAGCATGTTTCCGCCATCTTTCCAGTGGCAAAAGGTGGCTTAACTTCTGCTGGCAAGGCATTGCGGGAGCTTCCACTCCAGCAATTTTTCTTCAATCCTCCTTGGCTCATACTGAGTTTTAATTAAGGATTCGTGAGATATTTGAAAAAGCAGCGAATAATTCAATCAAGTTCATGGATATTCATAACAGAGAAACAATAATGTTATTGCAAGACATTGTAAAATTGAGAGCGTCGCCAGCTTAGCACGCGATATTAACAATGAGCACTGGCTTGACAACTGTTTTAAGCTGTAATAGTTTCTTGGTCTGTACTTCGGCCGCAGCCTTCAAAAGCTATCTATAGCTTAAATATCCGAACGCAGATTGCTCGCCCCCATAAGTCGTATGTTGGTTTTACAGACCTGCGCCAGTTAACCTGATATCGTACAACGGAACAAATGCGCTGACGAGTGTTTCAATGAACGAAAAATTTTATTCATGCTAGCGAACATTAAAGCTCTAGCGTCGTTGATAGTTTGCTTCTCAATAGATTTCGAACCGTTTCGTAATTGCTTACTACACGAATTCGACTTGAAACAACGCCGCAGAAAGCGGCCGTACAAGCACTGCAGAACTTCTTGCGATTGACAAGATGCAGTTAATGCAATTAGTGTAATCAAAACGTCCTTTGCATGTACGCTTTTCTTTCTTGTTCCTTGTTTTTTTTCCCCTGTACCTCTACTCCCTTTTGCCGACCCCCTTTTGCCGCCTAAGTACCGTGTAGAAAACCGTATAATAACAACTGGTTAACCTAGCTCCTGGCCTTCCTTTTCGTCTGTATGCCTCATTCACTCTATCACGTTCATTTTTTTTTACTTTGTAACACCTTTATTGTTTCACGACTTAAGAACATAAAAGTTCTAAGCTTCTTTGCCGTGTCCAACTGCGTCGTTTGGGCTGTAGAGCCACGCCATAGGTAGGGGAGTAATGGACGTCGTGCCTTACCCTCCCCACTCCCCTCCAAAATTTAGTCATCGCATTATATTCTCTTTTCGCCTGCTTCCCCACTCGTACTCCTATTTTCACGCAGAAATTATAATGAATGAAAAAAAAACAACTTTTCGCATTTATTACTGTTTAGAAATGACCAAGACGTTGTTTGGGTGCAGGTACTCTTTTTATTCTTTATTTTTACAGGCGGCGTGTAACACCAATCGAAAAGTATCATTGCGACGGAAAGACACGCAAACAGAACAACATCTGCCGACTCTGCTGTTCGCCTATATTTTCAAGCGGTTGTAGCCTGGCTGGTAACAAAGAAACAATAGCCATCCGGAATATCTTCAAGAACGAGACCAAAAGTCTTTCTCTTAGGACCATGCTGAAAGACAGATAAAGACAGACGCGATATTGGCGTTTCTTTTGATAGCCGCCGGAGCTATCGATGTCCAATGAAACGCAAACAGCGGACATCATTAGCAATGGTATAGTGCGAACCGTTTAGAAGTCAGCATGTACATGTGCAGTACTGTCGAACCAGTGTGTTGCGCATGTCCATGCTGATGCCTAAATGGCGCCCACTATACCATTGCTTGCACTTGTCGCTGTTTGCGTTTCACATGCCGGTCATGCATGCTTATGCTTTCGCATTAGCTTGAACGTACCGCACTTGGTATCACTCCCAGTGGACGCGGTTGAAGTTGGTATAAAGCCTTCCGACTAACATGTCTGACTCCTGTCGTGCGACAAAAGTGCTTACTATCATAGCCACACAAAATCAAGGCGAAGGCAAATTTCCGGGGGCATTCAGCCAAGGCTGGTCGACCAGCTTGACGGTCCTGTCGTCCGGCACGCGGTCCACCTCGAAAAGCAACAGCTTGTTCTCCTCGGGATGCTTTCTCAGGAACGGACCCGGAAGGTAGAGGCGCACCTGGGGGCCGGCCATGGGCCAGTAGCGACCCAGGTTGATGCCGTTCACGTAAACGATGCCCCTGCCCCAACCCGTGGGGTCGAAGAAGGTGTCCAAGGGCTCCTGCTTGTCCGGAAGCTTGAAACTTCCGGCGAAGAAGCCCGGTAGCTTGCCGTCACCCTCGCTATTGACGATAGACATGAGCAGCGTCACGTCCTGGTTCCTGGTCAGTGGGACCACTTCCATGGTCCACTCTGTTATGTGCTTGTCGTTGAGCGTGACGTTCTGCAATCCCTTTGGTTTGTTGGGCGGAAGAGAAATGGTTAGATATGTTAGAATCCAGACTCAGAAGTAAACGTTTCTGGACTTAGTGCTTCTACAGACGGCTGGACTCAATGTTTCTAAAATTCAGACTTAAAAGGGATAACATAATCTGGGGTTTAACGTCCCGAAACCGCGATATAATTATGAGAGACGCAATATCGTAGAGCTCCAAAAATTTTGAACCCTTGGAGTTCTTTACCGTGCACTTAAATCTAAGCACAGGGGCCTGAAAGATTTTCGCCTCCATCTAAACGACTCGAACTTATTTAGGTTGTACATCTATAATAAAGCCACGACCAACTAATGACACCCTTGTTTACATTCCAAGAACTTCTGGTCGTCACCCTTTAGGTTTTCTCAATATTCATTAGAAGTGTCTTGAAATATAGAACTGCTATGAAATCAGTGATTCTCGTTCTAAGTGACATATTGGGTACTTATTAAGAAAAGAAAAACTAATTACTTCCTTCAAAGAGCAGGCGCTTGTCTTGAGAGTAGCTGGGATCTAAACAGCGCACTCGTTTCTACACGGCCTCTGCGATCCGCTTGGGTAGTGCGACGAAGCGTTAATTTAACCCAATGAACACTACTGTGCACACGAACGTCGAGGTGTGAGTGCCACTAGCAGCAGATATCTATGTCAAGGTTTCAAATCACCTCTTAGTGCCATTATTATCATTATTAATATTATTCGTACCATTAGTTGCAGTAGTAGTGCTGCTGCAACAGCATCTGCAGTTGTACATTATTTAAATACGGACCGTATATATACCTAGGAAGGCTTTGGAAAGCAGCGTCAAAACCAAGCGTAAGCATAAAGCGGTGACAATTACGCAGCAGTCTCACTGGCTTCTAGCGATACTTCTGGAAGCCAATGCAGACAGCATAAATGAGCATCTGTCTTACACTCGCCTCACACTTGCAGCAGCGGTAAGAACAGTTAGTCAGCTGACGACCCGCGTTCCAAGTACCAGTGTTTGTTTTTTGTCGAGCTGTCATCAGCAGTCCCCAGAGACTTCTTCGTACTAGCGTCCTTGCCAACTTTAACCAGTTTTCGTCACCTCTCCTAGGTGGATGATTAAAAATTCTCATTCCCAGATTTCATTATATAATATATACGCGGTAAATGCGGCCTCTGTAACTGGCATTTTTAAGTTATACTTGGACAAGCATACGGAATCATTTAACAATGCCGTAAAGATGCAGCTAGTGACCAATACGAAATCAGGGTGTGAATTGCAACATGTCAATTTCTAATTGAAAATTCAGTTCTATCTAGAAATTGGTACACCAGGATTCGCGTCAAGCTTAGAAGATACACCTTAAAACGGCCCACAGGACGTCGAGGCCGCTATTAAGTATAATACGTTTTGATGTGGTCAGGGGGCGGTAGGCGGCGTTCAAGCGACCACTCTCCTAATATGTTTCAATTTTGGCATGCGCGTATATACATCCATGCATGAATACACGCAAAAACATTCACAAAAAACAATACTCCTGCCCCTCTTTCCCAACCTACGAAAAAAAACGTCTGACTACGCTAATGATCATGCGTAACGCGAGATGATGCTTAGACGATTGAACTTTCTAGATTATGGAGTTTAATAACAATAAGGGGAAACCTGGCTGCTAATGCCTATGGGGGCCGCAAAGTATTAAGCTTCAGCCCACATGAAAATGATGGGAGTAGACTTGCTCCTGCAGGGGCTTCACTCTCTAAGCTCAGTTTGGATCCATACGACCTGCTGCTGATTTGTGGCGAGACGACGTTCAACAAAAGCTCAGGGATCCCACTTCCTCACCTTTACCCTTTTAGGTTCAAAACGAGCTTTTTCTTTTCAGAAACAAAACCTGAAACACAACGACAGACAAACCTACGAGTGCATTCCAAGCCAGGTTTGGACATGGTAATCTTATCAGAACTTACACATCATGCATGCCACTGTGAAGCTGTCACACGGACAGCTTGTCTACTAACCTTGCGGTCATGGTTACGGTTACCAACTTGATCTCTTCCCATGTTCTCCACAAGAATAACAAGTTTATCACCTTTCTTTACCGATATCTTGCCCTCCGTTTTGGGCTGAGCAACTACCGGCTTGAAGCTGTAGAAGATGTACCTCGTGTTTCCCACAAAAACGTGGGCTCTGTCACGGAGTCCGTGCAACTTGAGTTTTCCTTTGCCGTTCGTATCCACATTCACATGTGCTGTGTACATCACAAATCCGTAGTCCTGTCCGACTTCTTCGAACGTCATCGGATACTTGGAGTGCTTTCGGTTGAGCCAGTTCTTATCGCTGAAGTGGTTCAACACGTCTCGAATCCCCTTGTAGTGATTCAACTTGACAGACCCAAAGTTGAGTTTCTTCGCGGGTCCCGGAGGCTCACCACTGGGTAGCGGGAGGAACTCCTTGATGACATCCCTGAGCTTATAGTACATGGGCGTCAATGAGCCGTCTTCGGCGATGGGGGCACCGTAATCGTAACTGGTCACTATGGGAGTATCCATGCTGATGGCCGATTTAAAGCCGAAGTTGGTGCCCCCGTGAAACATGTAGAGAGTCACGGAGGCCCCCATCTTCATAAGGTCCTTGAAACGGTCAACCAACACGAGGCTGCTCCTGTTGGGACGATCGAAAGTCCAGTGATCCATCCAACCAGTGTAATACTCAGCGACAAACCGCGGGCAGGGACTGACCTGCCCCCAGTCCATGACAGCGAACATCTTTTTGATTTCCTGGGTGTAGTCGAAGTTGCCGGCGACCAAAATGTCGCGAACCTTGTCGCACGTGTAGTAGTACTCCTCCGGAAAGTCGTTGCGGAAGTAGATGACATCCTGGTGGAAGTGTCTTTCCAGGTTAGAGAGCACGTGGTCCATGTAGTTAGGGTCACAGTGCTTGTAGTGTCCGAACTCGTTCTCCACCTGAACAGCGAAGATGGGACCGCCGTTCTTGTACAAGTACGGCACCAGCATTGGAAGCAGCTTGTCGAGCCACCTGTCAGTTATGTTCAGGTAGTTGACGTCCATGCTACGGTACATCATCTTGGGATGCAGTCTCAACAGCCAGTATGGAAAGCCTCCATTGTCCCTCTCTGCGCAGATGTAAGGTCCAGGTCTCAGGACGGCCAGCAGGCCCTCGTTCTTGACCTCGTTAAGAAACGCGATGACGTCGTACATGCCGGCGAAGTTGTACTCCTGCGGCTCTGGTTCGTGGCTGCTCCATTCGACGTAAAAGTCCACGGCGTTGATACCGGCCATGCGTGCTTTGCGAAGCCTGTCCTTCCAGTAAGCGCGTGGTATGCGGAAGTAGTGCATGGCTCCGGCCACGAACTGAAAAGGCTTGCCATCCTTGAGGAACCGCATGTTTTCGTGGTCAACCACGAGAGATCTTTCGCCTACAGATGGAAGCACAAAACCGTAAGACAACCAGAACATCAAGGCTAGGGTCCAGTGTTGTGGCCACATTCGCTGCTTCCATTCAATCGGCGTGTTTTTTGTCCGTGGCCACTGAGTTACGTGCACAAACACGGAGCTCAGAGCCATTCTAAAAGGGTTTCAGAACTCGAGGAAGTACCCGCGTTTAGATATCATTGCACGTTTTCCAGACAGAGTTGCGTAACTATGTAGAATAAAATCACTCATTTTTTTCTATGCGTATCTAGCAGTCGTCTTGAAGAAGAAGTGTGTATTCCGAGAAGAATTCTTCCAGATGATTTGCTAACGACTTACTCTCAGACCTCCTGCAGTATATCACTCGTTTGTAACGGCTAACAAAACGACAAAATGATGGGAACAAGTTTTCTTTTTAAAAGCAAGGGCGTCTCGTGTTAGGCCCTATAAAAAAAAACAGACCACAATAGTTGGGGTCGCACACAGTTTATGTATATTGTTAGTGTTTCTGCCTCGCTACACTTCACGTAGACGTGAATAGTTTCTTTTTCTTTCGTATATGGGAAACGCCTTACACGACAAGGGCATTTTGGGGCGTTCCGTAATAAACAAAAAGCGTTGCGAGACCTTCGCACGATGAACCAAGCCAAGTCTCGCGGCTCCGGATCTCTTTGTTTCTGAAGCATGTCAGAGCTAGGCCACTTGTTCGCGACATATAAAACGCGAAAAAACGAGCCCTTAAGTGTACACTTGTTTCCTACACACACACACACACACACACACACACACACACACACACACACACACATATATATATATATATATATATATATATATATATATATATATATATATATATATATATATATATATATATATGTAGATGCGCTTTCACATAACTGTTTATTGTGCCGACGTTTCGACGGGAACCCCGTCTTTTTCAAGGCATAATAATATTTACACATGTTCCGTGTCTTCTTATAGCCTGTCGAGACAGGAGGGAAGGGGTCAAAAGAAGAGTAAAAAAAAGAAAAAAAGAAGAGAGAGAGAAAAAAGAAGAAGAAACAGCGAAACGGGAGGAGAAACATTAAATAAAATATAGAAAATCTAGGAGAAGAAGCAAGACCGAGACGGCGTAATTGGAAAGGGGCAGCATCTCAACAGAGTAGGGCAGAGGTAGATGAGCATTGTCATCATTGTCAACAATACCTCCCCCGCACCCACTCTTCCCCAAGTGGGCAGTGTGCCGCCGTTCTTATATTTCACCTTTCCGTGTAGTCCGCTGGCGGCTCGTTTCTCTTTGAAGTTTAAGACAAGTTAATGGGGAGAGCTTAAGCGCTTCCAGTGCGTGCTGGTGGCGTCGGGAGGAATGAAAGAGCCAGTGATTGAGGCGCTGCCATCGATATTCATTATATGCAATGGCTCCTTGTCAGTGAAGGAACAGAATGTGCGTTAAAAATTAAAGAAGAAAAGAAAGAACAGGGGGGGGGGGACTGTACGACATCCGGGACAATCACCACACAGTTGCGGCTCACTAAGACATGCGTATATATATATGTACCGCTTGGGCCACTAGGCTTTTCAATCATTACAGCACGGATAATATAATCGTTACTCAATGTTTTACACTTGGTCGGACGCTGCCCCCTAAAGACGATGAAATGAAAAAGATAGCGACGAGTTTAACTACCCGATGAACCCACGGCGTCGATAGATAGAAGAACTTTATTGGGTCCTTCGGAACACGCTTTAGCCGGTTGCGGGTCGTTTCCACGTCGGAACAGGAAGGCGAAGTCTCTCTGCTGGGTCGCGGACCCGACGGACTGCCCAAAACTGTTGTTCGAGTCCGGAGCTAGTAATGGCAGCCTCCCATTGGGACGGAGTGATGACTTCGCCACAGCGGGGCACCACAAGGGCAACCATGGGTTCTAAGTTGGCCATATCCGTGCTTAAGGAACACGCACTATTTGGCTGTATTTCGGGATATACCTTGTGCAACAGCGCGGAGTTAGGGTACGCCCCGACCAGAAGTAGCCTGAGTGTCAGAGCCCGAAGTACGCTTAATTATCTGTGTGGTGGAGCGTATTGTCTTTGAACCAGCTAAAAAAAAAAGGGTTTTGTCAGTTTGTTATACGATTTGTGAGGGTCCCGATTCTTCAACACCTCAGCGCCCTATCCCTCCCTCCCCGGTAGCTAAGTGGTTTGCCAGTGAAAGATAAAATTTTAGAACTTCCGTCTGTGGAAACGAACACCTCGATCTGTAGCTTCGACACAGGAGGCCATCACGAAATAAAGCAGCCCATTCATAGCATATGTTAAGGGAGAAAAAAAGCTTATGCAGCCACATGAGCTCTCTTTTATAAACCTATAGTTCATCAATACCTTTTTCGTTGTCTTCATCAGCCCAAACCAGTTATTCCTGTTTTTCACCTATTTTTTTTCATTTGTTTTACTACTTTCGTTTTCTTATTTACAGCGTGTTTCTTTTTCTTCTTGTTGTTACATACCGTTTTGTGCTGCTTTACTTCATTCATTTTAATCATTTTCCTTTGCTAGCGACGGTGCGGTAAATCCCCCTCTTGGGTATTAGCCAGTTTCCAATCTAGGCGGCAAAACAAAGCACGCACGCGCACGCGCACGCGCGCACGCACACCCACACCCACACACACACACACACACACACACACACACACACACACACACACACACACACACACACACACACACACACACACACACACCATTACTAGCTCCGGACTCGAACCATTACTAGCTCCGGACTCGAACCATTACTAGCTCCGGACTCGAACAACAGTTTTGGGCAGTCCGTCGAGTCCGCGACCCAGCAGAGAGACTTCGCCTTCCTGTTCCGACGTGGAAACGACCTGAGACAACGCTATTTCATTGGATCACAAGTCCGTACAAAATTCCTCAATGGTTCCCGCCTCCTAAAAACCTAACACACTTATTATCTGGTCACGGACACTTTCAGTATTATCTTCATCGATTCAATATAACTGCATCGGACAGGTGTATGTGCGGTGCACCTTGCTTGAGCGAACAACACTACTTTAATGAATGCCCAAACACACAACACATTGTGACCCATTTACGTGTGCCCAAAAGTGATACAACACTACCTGCGCATTATTATGGGCTATTGACCAATAGAAAATCTCGCGCGTATCTACTTCAGTTAGTGACTGTCATGCGCAACTCTGTTTCTATGACATCCACATGACACGTATTAGCTACCAACACTTTATCAGGACGTCGCTTCATACTCCGAATCACCTCCATATCACAACTTTTGCGTGAGTGCTCTCGATTACAGTCGCAGTTATGCCAACAAAGGTGGGGGAAAACCTCGGCGACTGATAACGATAGCATCACTGCTCCATTTTCCCTAAGTACTCGAACCATAGGATTCGCAACGCTTGCGCAAGTACCTAATCCTGCCCCCCCCCCCCCTTTTTTTTTTAAAGCTTGTTATTATTGCGAATGGCGCCTTGTCTAAGTTCGCAGCGGCAAACAGGCTGCCCAAGGTTCCCTGCTGCATCGCTGGTTGGAACGACAGCCCGACGTGCCTGGCTACATGACTCCTGGTGAAGAAATGGGCTTCGACATCACAGAGGCCACTGCTACCATCCTCGTCAACGTTTACCCATCCTCAAGACCACTGGCTCGCATCCCACTTCGTTGTTTGTTTTTGGACTTTCTGCATTCAACGACAATGCATTTAAAATAAACACACACACACACACACACACACAAACACATACACAAACACACACACACACACACACACACACACGCAACACACACACGCACACGCACACACACACACACGAACTCCAAAAACTCAAGTGGGGGAAATACACTGCTGCTGCATATCGACCTGCTCATTCCTGAGAAGCTAACTAGTTTATTTATTACAGTTTCATGCTGCACTCACTAGGTTTTACCCATGTTATTTTTTTTAACTAATTGGCTTTTTCAAATAAAAATAAAAATTTGGGAACTTTCTCCTCTTCATTTATGTTAGATTGGCTTGAGCCTGTTATACCTCCTGGTGGTACGGGCTACCCCCCTTTTTCCTTTTAGTTATTTTTACATATAGGGGGCGGAAAAAGCACACACACACACACACACACACACACACACACACACGCAGCTTCGCAAGGAAGCTAGTGGGATAGTGGGAGACCTGGCATGTACAGCACAAGAGAGGAAGTGCCGTTTATTTTTTTTTTTTTCATCACGCATAAAATACCGAACGCATATGCGGCGAGAAGACAAAAAGCCATATAGCTCGCTGATGTTTATTCAAACGCGCGCACGAGCGAGGCAGGAATAGATATAAACGGCCGGATATAAGCGGCCAGGCGCAGCGAAGAGAAGGTTAAAGGTAGCAGTGCTGCCCCATCCAAGGGACGACGCTCGTGAACGTATACGCAGTATATGCATGAAAACCACGCGAAACACGCAGTAGGAAAACGGGGGGCTTGTATAGCTGTAGAGAGGCCTATTATTCTGTTTTATGAAGCCCCGACAAAAAGCCGCTTTTCGAGAGGCAGTATCCAATTTCCCGAAGTCGTCCCCTTGCTTCTCCTCCACCTGCCCCGGGAAGAAGGCCGAATTCATCCGTTTTTATGAGCGGTGCGGTTTACGGGGTGAGTCGATGGTACAGGGCCGGCGAGGATAGCGTGCGAGTTATATATGCCACCGGGCGTTATAGTTTTGCTCGGTGTCCGGGGTGGCAGCTTTGCTCAATGCAAAAGCCACAATGATCCTGGGACCGACGGGCTTCATGTTGCGGCACAATCGTAACGGCCGTGAAAGGCAAAGAACCGATAGGAATGCGCGCGCAGACGCACACCACCGACTTTCGACAGAAATTGTCTTACCAGAAATATTCGAAATGCTCTGAACAGCACGTATATAAAAACGATTTCAGAAGAATATCTTTACCGTGACCCCATGCACGTTGTGTATAAATACGCAAAAAAAAAACGTTTAATACTGCTCACAAAAGAAGAGAGAAA